ACACACAAACTCACTATAGACAAGCTCATTACAGCAAGCTCACTGAAACACACATGCTCACTACAGACAAGCTTACTGACACACAAACTCACTACAGACAAGCTCAATGACACCCACCAGCTCACTGACAAACACAAGTTCATTACAAACAATTTGTGACACACCCACAAGCTCAGTAACACACACACGCTCACTAGAGAAAAGCTCAGTGACACACAAACAAGCTCACTGACACCCACAAGTTCACTACAGATAAGCTCACTGACACACACATATGTTCACTACAGACAAGCTCACTGACACACACACATACAGGCTCACTACAGACACGCACACTGACCCACACAGAAGCTCACTAAAGACAAGCTCACTAACCCACAAAAGCTCACAACATACATGTTCAATGACATACACAAGCTCACTGACACCCACAAGCTCACTACAGACAACTTCAATGACACACACAAGGTCACTAGAGACAAGCTCACTGTACCTATCACTTGGGACTCTGAGGGCAGTAAAAAAAGGGGCCAGGGAAAAGATCCGAGTGACTTTGACAAGGGCCAGATATTGATGGCTAGATGACTGGGTCAGAGCATCTCCAAAACGACAAGTAATGTGGAGTTTTGCCACAGTGCTTAATATCTACAGAAAGTGCAATGAAGGGTAACAGAGTCATGTCCAACAATAGCTCATTGATGCACGTGGAGAGCAAAGCCCTGGTTCAATCACAAAGAAGAGCTACTGTGGTTCAAATTGCTGAAAACATGCTGGCAATGATAGAAAGACATCATGACACACAGTGCCTTGAAGTTTGCTTAGTAAAGGGATGCGTAGTTGCAGACCATTCAGAGTGCCCATGTTGACCCCTGTCCACTAAAGTGCCTTTAATAAGGACGTGAGTGTAAGGACTGGATTATGCAAGAAGGTTTCCTGGTCTGATGCATCATATTTTATTTTATATCGGGTGGATGCCAGGTGCCATCTCTTCTACCTGGGGAAGAGATGGCAGCAGGATGCAGGCCTGAAGAGGCAGTGTTATACTATGAGCAATGTTCTGCTTGGAAAGCTTGGGCTCTGGCATTCATGTGGATGTTACTTTGACACGTAGCACTTACCTAGAGATTGTTGTAGACCACATAAACCCCTTCATGGCAATGGTGTTCCCTGATGGCTGTGGCCTCTTTAAACAGGATAATGCATCCTGTTCCACAGCAAAAATAGTTCTGGAATGGTGTGAGGAACATGACAAAGATTTTAAAGTTTTGCCTTGGCATCCAGATTCCCCACATCTCAATCCGATTGAGCATCTGTGGGATGTGCTGGAACAACAAATCCGATCCATGGAGGCCTCACCTCGCTATCTGCATGATTTAAAGGATCTGCTGCTAATGTCTTGGTGCCAGATGCCACCGGACAAGTTCAGTGGACTTGTGGAGTTTATGCCTCAATGCATCAGAGCTGTATAGGCTGCACAAATGGGACTTGCACAATATTAAGCAGACAGATTTAATGTTGTGATAGAATTTTTGTCGGGTTCAAACACAAAAGGGAAAATAAAGTGGGGGAGGAAACAAGGGGAATATAGACTATAATAACATCCAACACCTTCTAGGGGCAGCAGACCTTTTGGATAAAATGGTAAAACGATAAAACACAAAAGAAGTGTAGTCTGAACTACCTGTATAGGGACAGCAGTCCCCTGTAGAAAATAATCTAACACCTACTAAATATACAATAGTGTGTACAAAAACCCAAAACTAAATTATAGGGTACTGTGCTATTGGGGAGACGTACTTAAAAATAAATTAAAGTAATAAATAAGAAACACAGTGAAACATTTTTTATGACCTACTAAGGTCCTTACTAAAAAGTCAATTGCATAAAACTGATAAACATAAAATCCTATAAATCCAGCCCAATGAAATATCGATCGTGTTCCTTTAAAATGTGCTAACATGCAAAAGACATACATTTTAAAGGGACAATATCAGTTTATTCCAATGGATTTGTAGGATGTTATCTTTATTGGTTTTATGCAGTTGACTTTTCAGTATTACTTTAAATTTTTTTTAAATACCTGTCTTGTTATTAGCGCAGTCACATATATTTTAGTTTGGTTTTAATGTTGTGCCTAATCAGTATAAATTCAAGGGTTCAAAGTTATTAAAGCAGACGTGTATCACAGTCTGAAATTGCAAAACCAGTTACCCATGTGATACCGCCACCTTTGATGGCTAAGCAGACTAGATGAGCATAATAGGATTTTTTTTTTTTTTCAAAGAAACTTACTATTTCTATAGCATTATTGCAACATTCTTTCTGATGGGAGGGGAGTTATGTGGGTTGTGCTTGTGTTGTATAAGTAACCTGAAACTGTATTTAACAGTCAGTGTTTGAAACACACAGTATTCAGCCATAATGGAGCTCAGCACAGTTCTCTCACTTGTTCTGGTCCTGTTGGGCTACCTATGGTGGAAGATGTCTCGGCCAAAGTCCTTCCCTCCAGGTCCCCTGGCTCTGCCCCTCTTTGGAAACATCTTGCAGATGGATTTTTCTAATCCCCTTAAAGATATGAAGGAGGTGAGTGTTGTTAACTGTTAATGTTATCTGAACGTAGATGGTGTATGAGTGCAAATCTGAGTATAAGTTAAATATTGCAATATGTTCTATGTGAGTTAGGTAACAACCTACCCTTCTCTTTAATGCATCAGAGGTGAAGCATTGAAAATGTAAGAAATTTACCTTTAAGAAATTTACATCACACTGTGCTCTGGTCTCTGTGCTGCCACTCCATATCCCTGGCTGAGATAATCAATATTGATAACCTTAGCCAATCCAATGCTTTCACATAGGGAAGCATTGGGAGGCTAGTGCACATGCGCAGGAAATGCTAGAATGTGGCAATCAAAGGCTCTTTATGAGAGTCATTTGATCTATGCCTGGGTTTAAATGAGGCATATTAACCCTGCAATGAAAATGTTGTCGCTACTGCAAAACTGCAGTGATTTGAGTTAAAAATACAGTGGCACTGTACCTAGATCTCTGTGCCTATAGTGCCCCTATACAAACTTGAAAGGCTCAGCAAATCCTGTGGTGCTACACTAGCACTCAGCAGGAGCAGGCCCGGACTGGCCATCGGGCATACCGGGCAAATGCCCGGTGGGCATGATGGCCATGGGCCGAAGCAGACAGGGGAGATCACAGGATCTCTCCTGTTGGCCCATGCAGAGCCGGCAATATCGACCTATTTACACAATACCACACCACAATCAGCTTACTCTACACACACACAATCCCACAAGCAGGCTCCAAATACATGCACCATACGCTTTCCTGGCCCTTGTGTCCTCTGGTATCCCACTTATGGAGACACCAGACACAAGTTAAAAGCAAACACAGCACAAGCATGTTATTACATTTCTCGTGCTAGAGCTCTTCAGCGGGGCTCTGCGCATTGAACCAACATGCTCACTTTGAGAGGAGGGCGTGCTTGTCATTAGTGATGACAAAACACACCCTCTCTGGTCCTGCCCTCATCTTAGGGGGGCGCTGTGATTGAAAAATGCCCAGGCTGAATTTTTTTCCCAATCCGGTCATGAGCAGGAGAGAAACAGGTAAGATGTCAATCTGCAAAATCAACTTGTCATCTTACCATGGGATGGCACAGCACCAGGTTATTCCTTCCACCATAACCACATCAGAGTGCTGTGCTGGTTATGGATTTTTGGAATGCCCCTTTAATTTGGTTCTTTAATTTTTTTAAAGGTTCACTTTTTTACTAGTTCTTTAAATTCTTTTAAGGCTCACTTTATTCACTATCTGTTAAATTAAACTGTATAGGCAATATAACAACAACTTATTAGACATTAAAGTGGTTATGTTGCTCTCGCTTTCTTACCTAAAGGGATTAAACTGTTCGTGATTGGTTTCACCCCAAAGGTTGCTCTCCGGTACCATATCTCCCTGCCCCCCAGCGGCATCTGGTTTGTCCAATGCAGTTTGAATGCTGCCAGGCAGTGGTGCCGCTGTTTGACTTAAGCCAATTTGTATTTTTCCATTCATAAATAAAGTACATGGGTTTGCGCTGCAGTAGCAGATTTTCTCATAGAAAAACATTTTGGACCTGCAGCGACGCTAAGCTCTGCCAATCTATTTGGTGTTCAGAAATATTATACGGTGCACGATGACGACAAATGTAAAAACATTCAAAAATGTAAGTTCCTAAGGAGGAAGTGTCCCTAATGGCTGTGTGTATATGCCTGATATCCACTAGAGTGGTGTTCTTGAGCAAATGTAAACATTGCTGTTTGTCAGAAAAGGCAGTGATTTAAATTGTCCAAGTAAAGGAAAGGATATGTGTACCAAAACCATGACATTAAGATGTAGTAGTTTTGATGCTACCACATGTCCCCTTAATCTCCTTTACTGTAGTTTATATTTATATCTTTATGGACCACAAGTTCTTTTGATTCCTAACCATTACATATGAGTTTACATACTGTTTGTAAAATTGAATCTCGTAATGTGTGAAATGCTACATATTTCCTCTCTAAATCCGATTTCTATCTTTCAACCAGTTTTCTAAGGTGTACGGTCCTGTGTACAGTATTTATCTGGGTTCAACGCCAGCTGTAGTTGTTAGAGGTCTTAAAGCCATTAAAGATGTCCTGGTTGTGAGAGGTCATGAGTTTGCAGATAGACCTCAGAACAGAATAACACGTGTAGTGTCTGGGGAAAAAGGTACGGTTTTGGGGAAAATTGCTTTTTTTTTTCTTACCTCTCTTTCCAGTGTGAGACTTTGAGGCTTTGTGTGTTAAATTATATTTATATTTTAGTGTATTAGAGCTTTTGCACATTAAGCAATTAACTTATCCAAGATAAAATGGTGAAGGTTAAAGGGACACTCCAGGCACCCAGACCACTTCTGCCCAATTGGAGTGGTCTGGGTGCCAATTCCCACTACCCTTAACCCTGCAACTGTAATTATTGCAGTTTTCATAAACTGCAATAATTACCTTGCAGGGTTAACTCCTTCTCTAGGGCACTTCCGTGTCTATAGCACAGGTTTTCTGTGCTAGAGCGTCGCTGGACGTCCTCACGCTGTGTGAGGACCTCCAGTGTCGCTCAATTCCCCATAGGAATATGGAGAGCTCTACAGGGAGTGCAGAATTATTAGGCAAGTTGTATTTTTGAGGATTAATTTTATTATTGAACAACAACCATGTTCTCAATGAACCCAAAAAACTCATTAATATCAAAGCTGAATATTTTTGGAAGTAGTTTTTAGTTTGTTTTTAGTTTTAGCTATGTTAGGGGGATATCTGTGTGTGCAGGTGACTATTACTGTGCATAATTATTAGGCAACTTAACAAAAAACAAATATATACCCATTTCAATTATTTATTATTACCAGTGAAACCAATATAACATCTCAACATTCACAAATATACATTTCTGACATTCAAAAACAAAACAAAAACAAATCAGTGACCAATATAGCCACCTTTCTTTGCAAGGACACTCAAAAGCCTGCCATCCATGGATTCTGTCAGTGTTTTGATCTGTTCACCATCAACATTGCGTGCAGCAGCAACCACAGCCTCCCAGACACTGTTCAGAGAGGTGTACTGTTTTCCCTCCTTGTAAATCTCACATTTGATGATGGACCACAGGTTCTCAATGGGGTTCAGATCAGGTGAACAAGGAGGCCATGTCATTAGATTTTCTTCTTTTATACCCTTTCTTGCCAGCCACGCTGTGGAGTACTTGGACGCGTGTGATGGAGCATTGTCCTGCATGAAAATCATGTTTTTCTTGAAGGATGCAGACTTCTTCCTGTAGCACTGCTTGAAGAAGGTGTCTTCCAGGAACTGGCAGTAGGACTGGGAGTTGAGCTTGACTCCATCCTCAACCCGAAAAGGCCCCACAAGCTCATCTTTGATGATACCAGCCCAAACCAGTACTCCACCTCCACCTTGCTGGCGTCTGAGTCGGACTGGAGCTCTCTGCCCTTTACCAATCCAGCCACGGGCCCATCCATCTGGCCCATCAAGACTCACTCTCATTTCATCAGTCCATAAAACCTTAGAAAAATCAGTCTTGAGATATTTCTTGGCCCAGTCTTGGCGTTTCAGCTTGTGTGTCTTGTTCAGTGGTGGTCGTCTTTCAGCCTTTCTTACCTTGGCCATGTCTCTGAGTATTGCACACCTTGTGCTTTTGGGCACTCCAGTGATGTTGCAGCTCTGAAATATGGCCAAACTGGTGGCAAGTGGCATCGTGGCAGCTGCACGCTTGACTTTTCTCAGTTCATGGGCAGTTATTTTGCGCCTTGGTTTTTCCACACGCTTCTTGCGACCCTGTTGACTATTTTGAATGAAACGCTTGATTGTTCGATGATCACGCTTCAGAAGCTTTGCAATTTTAAGAGTGCTGCATCCCTCTGCAAGATATCTCACTATTTTTGACTTTTCTGAGCCTGTCAAGTCCTTCTTTTGACCCATTTTGCCAAAGGAAAGGAAGTTGCCTAATAATTATGCACACCTGATATAGGGTGTTGATGTCATTAGACCACACCCCTTCTCATTACAGAGATGCACATCACCTTATATGCTTAATTGGTAGTAGGCTTTCGAGCCTATACAGCTTGGAGTAAGACAACATGCATAAAGAGGATGATGTGGTCAAAATACTAATTTGCCTAATAATTCTGCACTCCCTGTAATGCGCATGTGCTGCATTGCCGTGCATGTGCATTAGGTCTCTTCAGCCGGCGGGTGGGATCAAACTCCCCCGCCGGCTGACGTAATGAATGGGAGGAGCGGCGGCGACCCGAAACCACCGGCGAGGGACAATGGCGGGGGTCTCAGGTAAGTTACTGAAGGGGTTTTCACCCCTTCAGCAACATGGGATGGGTGGTGGGAGGGAGAGGGGGCCTGCAGTGCCAGGAAATATTGTTTTCCTGGCACTGGAGAGTCCCTTTAAAGTCACTCTAAACAGCACTGATATAAATGGCAAATGGCAGTATTGTATATACAACAGGCTGGGGTGTGGGGTTATTGATATAGTGATTTTTTTTTATCTATTTACATTTTTCTGCAGTTATAATGAATTACAGACAGGGATGCCTAGCACATTAACGTATATAAGAAACATCAATTTTGTGGTCTTAGAAAAGCCCTTTTAAAAAGAAAATATATTTCAATATGTTGTAAATGCATACAGCTTGGTGAGATCTACTGATCAAGCCACCTCAGGCTTGTTTGGTTCAAAAACATTTTAAAGAACACTATAGTGTCAGGGATACAAACATGTATTGTTGACACAATAGCTGTAAAAACCTAGTTAAGGTGTCCAGCCACCTTTGCTCTCTTTGAAATGTTTTTTTACTGACCTTTTTTTCCACGGTCTCGTCGTGGCTGGCAGCACTCTGCCTACTCTAAATTTGATGATCTCAGTCAATCCAATGCTTTCCCAAGCTATTGAACATGCGTGGCAAAACACTGCACTGCACCGATCAGCATCTCCTAGTACAAATGCTGCTGTACACAGTCAGCACCTCTGGTGGCCGTCTGAGTGGCTGCTACTAGAAATGTTATTAGGCAGTAATGTAAGCCCTGCTTTTACTCTGGAAAGGCAGTGTTTACATTAAAAAGCATGTAGTGACATACTATACACACCAGAAGAACTACATTAAAGGGACCCTATAAGCATCAAAACCACTTCAGTTTATTGAAGTGGTCTGGGTACAGTGTCCGTATTGCACTTAGTCCTGCAATGTAAAACATAGCAGTTTTAGAGCAACTGCAATGTTTACATTGCAGCACTAAGACTGAAACTATTGGCTGTCTACCTAGAGAGCTTCAGGGAATTTACCAGACTTTGGGGTGCCTAACTGGCGCTGGACGTCCTCACGCTCTGTGTGAGGACATCCAGCGTCAGTGATATTCCCAAAGGAAAGCATTGAGTTAATGCTTTCCTAGGGGGGAGGCCTAATGCACCCGCCGCACATTCACATTAGGTCCACCCATCTGCTGACTTTGGAGGAGGTGGAGAAAACCCAGCATCAAGGGACATCAGCGCTGGAATTGGATAGTAAATAAAGGTGTGTTTTTTTAACCCTTTATGTATGGGGGGGGAGAGCAAGGGAGGACCAGAGGGCACTATAGTGTTAGGCATACATATCTGTATTCCTAGTATTATAGAATTCCATTAAGCTGTAGTTGTTCTTGTGACTATAGTGTCCCTTTAAAAATAGACAGTACTTTATGCTCCTTATAATTTTTGCTTTTAATGTTGCTATAATTGGGATACAGCTGATTGGTAGAGGAAATATCACAGTTGCAAAGCCTCGGGATTAGTTGGGATTGATCTATGCACTGCTTAATCTTCTTGGTTTGATTCGGTTTTCTTTCTCCAGGTATGGTTGTGGCTCCTTACGGCCGGGCATGGAAAGAACACAGACGCTTCACCATGTCCACACTACGGGATTTTGGTCTTGGTAAAAATTCCATGGAGGAGAGGATTACTGAGGAGTGTGTGTATTTAATCCAGGACTTCAAAAAGAACAAAGGTAAGCATCAATTTTTCAACGCTTTGGAATGCTTTTGTCCAGAGTCTCTCATTTCCGAGAAGATAGAAATATCTTCAACTCTTTCGCTTTCCCACATACTAGAGCAGAGTTGGTTAAAAGAAGAATCCTCAGATGTTGTAGAAGTGCAACCCTCATGCTGATTTTCCAGCCTTTTGAGAGATTTGGTCCCCATCAGAAACTGAATATCACAGAGGCTTCATTTCAGTTTCTGTCTACGTATGTCTATGCTTTTTAACTGCCCTTTTACATCAAAAATAAATTAATCAACACCGTGCAAGAAAACTGAAAATACCTATTCAAGTACCACAAATTTTTATTAGAGAGCGATATTTGGTAATACTATCCAACCACAATATACATTTACGCAGTTGAAATGTCTTGCACTGTACGCCCTAATATAGTTTACACAGTGTTCTCTAAGTAAAAAATAAAAAGCTTTGCTGGATGCTTGTATCCTTACTATTTAGATTGCTTATAACATTTTATCTCTACTAGTTATTACGTAAACCTTGGTGCTAAATATAGTAAACCAAGTACATTTTAGTCTTTACTCAAAGTGCTCTTGCAAGGATTAAAAAAACACTAGTCTGCACAACTCAAACTCTTTTGCACCCATAACCTTTTTAACTGTATTCCAGGCTTGGGGATCCATTCCATTATGCTATTGTGTGATACCCATAATTCATGTTTTTCAGATGACTTGTATGACCCACAAAGTGTAATTAATAATGCTGTATCCAACATCATTTGTTCCATTGTGTTTGGAAGACGTTATGAGTATGATGACACCACATTCTCACAAATTCTTACTCTTGTCAATGAGCACATGAAGATGACAGCAGGTTTTTGGGCCCAGGTATGTAGCATTTTAGCTGTTCTGGAGTGTCAAGAGTCTGGGATTTAGCAGCAACAGTTAAAGAATCAGAGCTTAAAATAGAGCAATTCAAAAACAGCAATTCAAGCTCAATGAGTAAATTAAATTGCATATTCTATAATTTAAATGGCCATGCTGTTTTGCTCCCACAATGTAAAATATTGCTGTTTCGGAGATATGGCAATGTTTTAATTGCAGGCCTAACAGGTGCTTTATTTTCCAGAACTGAGTCTTACTCAGTTCTTCACCTCCAACATACTTACCCATTGCATGATGACACAGAATGTCCTCATAGAAAAGCACTGGATTCAAAGCTTCTGTTTGAGAAGCATTTGATTGGTACATCATGGCAAGCGTGGTCATCAAGCATGATGACCTCAACAGAGGTAGTTCAGGCTGCAGAAAAGAAGCTGTCTTGGTGCTGAATTGCAGGTAACATAATTCATTTTTTGAGATTTGATAAATTCTTTATTTTTTTCTTTCAAAAAGACATAGGCATAATATCATATTTATGCACATTGCATATAACCTGAAGTAGGGATACAGAAAATAAAAAAGGGTGAGGGGCAAATAATAGTTAGTGTGCACAATATATCATATTCACATAGCATCGTTAGTTAGCAAGATGGTGTATGTAGTTTAGTAGCAGGAGTACACATGAGTAACCTACATAACAATCATTCCCAGTGTGTCGTATAAGGGTGGTGTCTCGTTATCTGTGCCTGGCCATCATTGGCTGCCACTAAAGAGGGGAATTGCGAAGGGAAGTGGTGGGGTTCTTCTTATCTATATGTCTCTCCTTCTTCTCCCCCCTTTCTGTTGGCCTGTATTCTGATCTTGTGTTCAAAGCCGTCTGGCTCTGATTTTGTTTGTTTTATTACTGGTGTTGGAGATATGTCAACCATGGTAGACAGTTTTTGTTAAAGACCTTTTGTTGGTCAATTGAAGCAACCAATATTTTTTCGTATAAATAATATTGGTTGATCTTATTTTTCTTTTTTCTTTTTAAATAATCTTTATTAAGTCTTTTCCTTTTAGATACATATCACAAAACGTATAAAAATAATATTACATAAATACAAGCGGACATAACAGAAAAATAAAAAAAATTAAATATACATTTACAACAACAGTTCATGGCAAACATTGTAAATCCAGAAGCCTTACAAGTCGACTATAGAAAATATACATATACCAGCTAGGACTGGTGTTGCAAGAATCTGAACTATGGTCAGTCAAAGAAAATCAATTAAGCATCATTATGTTAAAATTAAACTATCACCCGGGAAGTTCTATCATCCAGCATTTGAATCCATTTAATATATTGGTCTTATCTATTTAGAGAATGTATGGAAGGAACCAGTAGATCTTTTTTCCATGCGAAACTGAAATAAAAGTTGAGATATTAGCTGTCTCCTCTTAAAAGGAAGATGCGACTTCCATTGTCTTGCTATTAATATCTTGGTAGCAAAGAAACAATGTGTAACCAGGCACTTAGATGGGATAGAAGATATATTCCATTTTAAATGTAACAGCGCTGTGTCAGGACCTTTATTAATTGTAATACTGAATATAGATTTAAGAATTCCAAAAGACCACTCCCATAAACATTTTTTTTGGTGGCAGTGCCACCATATATGGATAAGGGATGCGTCCAGGCAACCACATTGCCAGCAATGAGGATTTTGGCCCGGGTACATCCTACTAATCCTACATGGGGTCAAATACCATTTATACATAAGCTCATATTGACATTCTATTAAATTCAAACAGTGAATATATTTACGGGTATTCTTAAAAGTAGAACGCCATTCACTGGCAGTAATGTTGATATCTAACTCGATTTTCCATTTATGAATTATATTTGAAGGTTGTTGATCAAAAATAATTAACATGTTAGTAGCCTTATAGAGAATTTTTTTAACCTTAGTATGGCTAAAAATGCATTGAATGAGAATATCAATTTTTGGGGGGACTTTCATTAAAGCCATATTCAAAAAAATTTAGATTCTCAGTTCCTTATTAGGGAGATTCAATTTAGATTTAATATTAGCAAAAGGTAAAATTTGGTCATCTTGGAGGATATCTTTAATAGTCCATTGAAATTTGGACCAGTTTTTTAAAGAAATGTCTTTTATATTATCCTCGAGACGGGCCAAGTGACAAGTTTTGGCTATTTTATTTGAGATTTTTTTATTTATTTTTCAATATTTCCCATGCTCTAATAGTTTGTAATAGAACTAGTGATTTACTATTTAACTCATCTGTCATACTTTTTGCTATTAAGCCATAAATATACTTCTAATCTGTCCTTTCCAACAGATTCAGATTCAATTATATACCATGTATCACTTTTAGACGATTCGACCTGGAGTCTATATTTATGCCCAATAATGTTGGCATAGTAACAGTTTCTTATATTTGAGTAATTTAAACCCCCTTGATGGTATTTCATGGAAAGAACTTTAGAGCTTATTCTTGTTTTGTTTTTTTGATTTCCAGATAAAGGTTTGGAAACTAGATTGTATCATAGTTAGCCAACTGTCTGGCATTTGAAGAGGTATCATCCTAACTAGATATAACCACTTAGGAATGATATATGCATTGATAATGTTGATTCTACCAGACCAGGAGGGCTCTATCAGGCACCATTCTTTTAGTTTGATATTTGTATATTTCCAGAGGTTCAAAATATTTGTTTCCATAATATTATCTACCTGAGTTGAAATTATGACCCCCAAATAATTAAAGACATCCTTAGACCATACAAAATCATACTTATCTCCTAAATTACAGAGGGTGAAATTGTCAACCTTAGTAGTTACAACAATTGATTTAGTTACATTGAGTTTATAATTGGATACTTTAGAATAACTTTTTATCTCAGATAAAACTTGGGATATAGAAATTGCTGGAGAAGTAAGTGTTTATAATATGTCGTCAGCATAAAGTGATATTTTTGCTTCTGGCTTATTAGTAGGAAATCCCTTAATATAATGGTTTGATCTGATATTAATTGCTAATGGTTCAAGAGTTAAAATATAAAGGAAAGGGGATGAAGGGCATCCCTGCCGTGTACCATTTTTAAAATTAATTCAGTTTAATAAGATATTAACGCCAACAGTCCTCGCTGTCGGTTCGGAATACAGAGCCATAATGGCATCGTGAATCCAGCCCACAAATCCAAAAGAAGTCAGTACAGCATCTAGGAAACCCCAGCTGACCCTGTCAAATGCTTTTTCGGCATCTAAAGACAGGGTCAGTAATGGGATCTTCCGTCGCCGTGTACTGATCCGGATGGATAACGCTCTCTACAGATGGTTTAAATCTATGTACTAAAATAGCTGCATATATTTTCATATCTGTATTTATCAATGATATTGGTCTATAGTTTTTAACATCTGTTGCATCTTTATTTGTTTTTAGAATTGGCAGAATATTAGCTTGTAGCAACTCCTTTGGCGGTTTAGCTTTTTTAGCCATTTAATTGAAAAGGTGGTGTTATTTCCTTTTTCATAATTTTATTAAAAAAAATACTAAATCCCTCCGGACCAGGGATCTTAGATAGTTCAAGTCTGTCAATTTCTCTTTCCACCTCAATCGGGGTAAACTCACGATTAAGTTGATCTAAATCTAACTTAGTGATTTTTGGAGTATCTGTATCTTCCAAATACTTGTTTATTACTTGATAGTCTAAAGGAGTGTCAATATTATATCATTTACTATAGAAATCATTGAATAATAATCCAATTTTTTCCGGGGAAGAATAAGTAATTTGATTCTCGACCAGTTTATTAATTCTATTGGCTGAGTACTGTTTTTTTAATCTTAACTTTTTATTTGCTCGATTACCTTGATAGTAAGTACTAAGTCTCAGTTTGTTAATTGTTTTTTTGATCGTTTCTTCTGTTTTTATATTAATTTGCTTTTTAAGTTCTAGAAGCGTAGTGCTAAGTTGATTTGATGGTTGGTCTTTATTTAATTTAGACACATTAAAATATTGTATGTTTAAATCGGTCAAGTCCCTGTTTATTGCAGTTTTGGTTTTCTTTTCTATTTTAATAAGGTAACCTCTAACAACTGCTTTATATGTCGCCCATAGGGTAGAATCAGAGATATCAGGATTGTAATTTTCCAGCCAGAAAAATCTAGATAACTTTATTATAGCATCTTGATTTAATTTAGATTTAAAGAGAGAATCATCCATTCTCCAAGAGTTTGTACATTTAGGTAAAGGCTTGCCTTTTTCTAGTATTATAGAGCTGTGGTCAGACCAAGTGTTGTCTTTAATTTGAATTGTGCTAATTTCTTTAAGTGTGTTAGCAGTGACTAAACATAAGCCTATTCGAGAATACGAATTGTGGACTTTAGAAAAATGCGTATAATCATGAGAGTCTGGATATACTGCTCTCCAGGCGTCATATAAGCCGCGTGTGAAACATATATTGGACAAGGTTCTAGATTGTTTGTATATCTGGCTATCAGATCTCAGCTGTATATGTGTTTTTTTTTTATCCATGTTTGGATCAAGAACACAGTTGAAATCGCCTGCTATTAACAGAGTACCTGTAGTTATATTTTCCAATCTACTCATGATTTTTGAGAACAGTGCAGTCGGGTTAATGTTTGGTAGACACAATGTATATATTGTGTTTTCGATTTTACAGGCAATTACAATAAATCTTCCACAGGGGTCACTGTCTATTAATATTACTTCATGTTTTATATTTGAATCAAAAATAACCACTACTCCGCATTTTTTATTATTTTCGAGAGAAGCCTAATATATACATTTATATTTTTCTCCGCCCCATTTTTGTGATTCAGATCTCAACCAATGGGTTTCTTGAACAAAAGCTGTTTGTATCCGATTTGACACTAAAGCATCATACAGCATCTGCTTTTTCCTCCTTATATTTAAGCCTTGTACATTAATAGACATAAGTCTTAGCATCTAAATTTTGAAGTTTGATATATAATAATAGGATGATAAATACATAATTCAAATGCTAGGGTAAATATACTCGGACTGACCATGTCCAGTTCGCCATATAAACATAAACAAAGACAGCAAAAAAGAAAACAAAAAATGAAACAACATCGTTTCATCAACATTTAACAATAAGTTCCCCAAGGGCTATAACCCCCTGGGATTCCCTAATCCTGAAACAGATATAGAAGATTTGGGGGTAACTGGGAAAACTTCACAGAAAGAGGGGATAAAATTGGGCGGCCAAGGACTTTGGTGGAACTATATATATAAGAGGCCGGAAGGGGGGAAAGGGAGGACATGGCAATGCTAACAGAATTTATAATTAAATTATATTTACAAGTCCCTTAAAATACCCTTGACAATTGAGTAACATTACTTAGTTCAGATGGGTCAAAACAGCTATAATATCCCCTTTTTATATCTAATCCATTATCCGAACAAAGTGGCTAATAGTCGGTAGAAATAAAAAAAAAATTAAAACATTTCCTTCCCTTTTTTCTTTTCCTTTCTTTTCCTTCCCCCTTTTTTCTTTTGCACATTATTATTATTATTATTTTATTATTTATATAGCGCCAACAAATTCCGTAGCGCTGTACAATGGGTGGACTAACAGACACATAATTGAGATCAGACCACTGACGTACAGGAACAGAGGGGGTTGAGGACCCTGCTTGATGAGCTTACATGCTAGAGGGACTGGGGTATAGTGACACAAAGGGTTAAAGTAGGGGAATTACAGTTTGTTACAGAAGGGTTTATTGAGTGCTTGGTAGGCCATTTTTGGCAGTTGCAGGAACGGAGTCATGGGGTGGGGGATGAGAAACCTGCTGACAGTTTAATTGATACGCTTTACTGAAGAAGTGAGTTTTCAAAGATTTTTTGAAGGAGTGGAGGCTGGGTGAAAGTCTGATTGAGGAGGGAAGGGAGTTCCACAGAATAGGTGCAGCCCTGGAGAAGTCTTGAAGGCGAGCATCAGAGGTGGGGATCCGGGCAGAGGATAGGTGTAGGGTAGGTCTTTGGCTGAGCGCAGGGGTCTTGATGGGACATACTTGTGTATGAGGGAGGATAGGTATGTTGGAGCAGCATTATGTAGGGATTTGTGAGCAAGCGCCATAATTTTGAATTGGGCTCTATATCTAACTGGAAGCCAATGCAGGGACTGACAGAGCGTGGAAGGTGCGACCGGACAGGAAAATAAGCCTTGCAGCAGCATTCATTATAGATTGCAGCGGTGCCAATTGGGAACATGTAAGACCGATGAGAAGGGGATTGCAATAGTCAAGGCGAGAGAGAACAACAGCATGAACCAGTACCTTAGCCGCGTCCGGCGTTAGATATGGGCGGATGCACGCTTTGTTCTTGAGTTGGAAGCGACAGGATTTGGCTATTGATTGGACATGGGGAGTGAAAGAAAGATCAGAGTCAAAAAGAACCCCTAGGCAGCGAGCCTGCGAGGTAGAGGTGATAGTAGCGCCGTTGACTTGGATGGAGACAGACACAGGACGGAGTAGCAGTACTTGAGGGAGGAAAAACTAGAAGTTTGAGTTTAAGGAAGTGAGCAGCCATCCAGTTGGAAATAGCAGAGAGGCAGTCAGAAACATGAGTCAAGGTGGGCAGAGAGAGATCAGGGGAGGACAGGTAGATTTGCATGTCATCTGCATATAAATGATATTGGAAGCCAAAGGAGCTGATGAGTTTACCAAGGGAGGCAGTATAGATAGAGAACAGTAGGGGGCCGAGGACAGAACCTTAGGGGACGCCGACAGAGAGGGGTTGGGGAGAAGATTCAGAGCCAGAGAAAGAAACACTGAAAGAGTGCTGGGAGAGGTAGAAGGAGCACCAGGAGAGAGCAGTATCCCGTAGACCAAAGTTACTGAGAATGTGAAGAAGCTGTTGATGATCAACAGTGTCAAAGGTGGCAGAAAGATCAAGGAGGATTAGGATAGAGTATTGGGCGCGAGATTTAGCAGCAATTAAATCATTGGATACTTTGGTCACAGCAGTTTCGACAGAGTGACCAGCGCGAAATCCAGACTGAAGGGGGTCAAGCAGAGAGTTGGATTCGAGAACGTCTGTCAATCTGGCGAAGACAACTCTCTCGAGGATGTTGGAGGCAAATGGCAGTAGCGAGATAGGGCGATAGTTGGATGGGGAGTTGGGATCAAGGTTGGGCTATTTCAGAATTGGGGTTACGGTTGCATGTTTGAAGGCAGAGGGTAATGTGCCAGAGGAAAGGGAGAGATTGAAAATGTTAGCGAGAGGAAGAGCAAGAGAGGGAGACAAAGTGCGGATGAGATGCGAGGGAATAGGATCGAGGGAGCAGGTGGTCGGGCGGGAGGACAGGAGCAGAGCAGAAACCTCTTGTGCTGTAGCAGGTGCAAATGAGCATAGGATGGCAGGGGGAGTGGGGTTGGGTGATGTATTGATACTGGTAGGAGAGAGATTAGAGATCTCTTTCCTGATTGTAGAGATCTTCTCAGTGAAATGAGATGCAAAGTTTGTGGCGGACAAGGTGGTGGAAGGAGGGGGAGTCACAGGGTGAAGAAGAGCATCAAAAGTGTGAAACAGGTGTTTGGGTTGATGGGACAGTGTGCTTATGAGGATGTTGAAGTAGTTTACTTTTGCAGAGGAAAGAGCCATGCTGTAGGAGCGCAGCATAAATTTATAGTGGACAAAGTCAGATGCAAAGTGAGACTTTCTCCAGCAGCGTTCAGCAGTTCTGGAACATTTTTGGAGGGAACGGGTCAGCTTGGTATGCCAGGGTTGTAGTTGGGGGCGCTTGCTGCGTTTAACTGTAGGAGGTGCCATGATGTCAAATTGAGAGGAGAGAGTGGAGTTGTACAGTGAGGTTGCAGAGTTAGGGCAGTTGTGATTTGAGATGGGTAAAAGGAGTGTTTGAAGTTTGGTGGAGAAGTGCTGGAGATCGAGGGAGTTGAGGTTTAGGCGAGGTTGGAGAGTTGATGGTGGTGAAATTTTGGTATGGGGTATGCAGATGTTAAATGTTAGCAGATGCTGGTTAGACAAAGGAAATGGAACAGTGGCGAGATCAGAGGTGGTACAGAGATTGGTGAAGATGAGGTCAATAGTGTTTCCGGAGGTGTGAGCTGCTGAGGAAGAAATCTGTGTGAGTCCAAAGGAGGAGGTTACAGAGAGCAGACGAGAGGCATCAAGGAAGTTGAGCTTGTTGATAGGGATATTGAAGTCCCCAAGTATGAGAGAGGGAGTGCTAGAGGAAAGAAAGTGGGGTAATCAGAAGGAAAAGTGTTCAATAAATAGTTTAGAGTGACTGGGGGGGGGGTGATAGATGATGGCAATTCTTAAAGGAGTGGGCTTAAAAAGATGTACAGTGTGAACTTCAAAGGAAGTAAAGGATAGGGCAGGGGCAGGGAGGCTAGATTGAAAGGTGCATTGAGGGGAGAGAAGGATGCCTACACCACCTCCTTTACAGTCGAGTCTAGGAGTATGGGAGAACTGTAGACCACCAAAACATAAAGAAGCAGGAGTAGCGGTATCGGATGGGGACAGCCAGGTCTCAGTGAGTGCCAGTATTGTGAGTGAGTTAGAGATGATGAGGTCATGTATAGCTGTAGATTTGATATTACTACAAATGGAGCGAGCATTCCAGAGTGCACACTGAATTTTGGTAGAGGAGGATAAACTTATTTGGAGGAGGATAAGCAGGATGTTGAATAACATTTAAGTTAACAAACATGTGATATTACCCCTATTAGGACAATTAAGTTAAAGTGAAGTGTCTCTTATTTCTCTCTTGGTGATCAAGTTATCCAATTAGCAAGAAAAAAAAAAGAAAAAAATGTTCTTCCCCTTTTCTCCTTTCTTTTCTTTCTTTTTACACACATGATATTACCCCTATTGGGACAATTAGGTTAACATGAAAGTGTATACATCAAAATTTTTGCATCGCATTGTATCCTTATAACTCTTATCAATTACACTGTATTCGTCAACATGTCTGTGAAATTAAAATAAGTGAAGTGCCTCTTATTTCTCTCTTAAACAAGTTTTCTAGTTAACAAGGAAAAAAAAAAAAGTGACAGTATACACTAAAATTATTAATTGACTTATATTTATAACTCCCAACTAATTGGGTAACATTGCTTAAATCAAGTGAATAGAATATCTATTCTTGTCTGTTTTTGTGTCTAATCCCTTATCACATGTGATAATGCACCTTTTACAACAATTTGTTTTAACTTAGAGAATGCATTCATCAAAAATGTATCATCGTGTTATGATCTCATAGCTATTCTTAATTCCGCTATATTCATCATTGTGTCTCGAAGAAAAAAAAAAGTGCTATATGCAAAAATTGTTAATTGAATTGTATTTATAAATCCCAATTAATTGGGCAACATTACTTATTTCAAGTGGACAAAATATCTATTCCCTTCCGTTTTTAATTCTATTCCCTTATCACATGTGATATTACACCTATTACAACCTTTAGGTTAACTTAAAAAATGCATACATCAAAAATGTATCATCATATTGTGTTCTCGTAACTTTATCAATTCCATTATATTCATCGTTGTGTCCGAAAAAAACAAAAGAAAAAACCACAAGACATAAAACACACCATATATATATTGACTAAGAAAAAAAACATATAATAATACCTCTCTTCCCCCCAACCCCCAAAACCGACCCCAGTCCCCTAGGAAACTAAATCAGTGACTTATTCTGTAGGCACGCCTTAAGCTTGTCAGGGTGGTCAAAAGTCTCTATGTTTCCATCTATTTGTATAATCATTATCGTTGGAAAGCTCCATCTGAATCTAATATTGTGGCTCTTAAGAATATTAATTTCTGGCATAAACATTCTTCTTTTTTTTCTGGTGTTGAAGGATAAATCTGGTAGTACTATGATGTTTGAATACGGCCCATCCTTAATGACTTTATCTCTATTAGCTTTTAGGACTTTCTCCTTAAATTCGTATGAATGAAAACAAGTGATTATGTCTCTGGGAATATCAAGGGCTATATTTGTTGGTTTGTTTAATCTGTGACATCTGTCGATTTTTTCATTATAGCCATCTAGTTTTAATCCCAGAGCTTTGAAATAATCATACAGAATATTTTGTAAATCTTCTTGCTTATGAGTGTCCTTAAAGTTGCGGAACCTAAGATTTTTCCTGTGCGATCTGTCTTCAAGGTCTTCTATTTTATTTTCAAGATTGCAAATTTTTGATGTTAATGTGTTAACTACTTCATTTAATGCAGTTATCTGGAAATCAGTGTTCTTCCATATCCTGAAATTTATCCATTAGTTTAACTATTTCACCTTTTATTTCTAACCGCATTTCTGTGGAATTTATTGAAATTTCCTTTTTTATTGCTTCAAAAATAGATTGTAGACTTGCATTCAATGTTTTAATAGTAACTTCTTCATTAGCCTTATCTTTGCTAGTTTCCATAGTAGATAAATCTTGATTTGATAATGATAGTCGAGATGTATTGCTTTTAGGATCTTTAGATTGTGGGGAAAAATATACTGCGAGATTTTGTTCTTGTTTAGTCTCTCTTTTATCACGTTTAGAAGAGGGCTTAGATTCTAAGGCTATTTTTTTAGAAGCCATTGGAAGATGTATGAAGGTACTATAGAGGTAGGAATAGTTTAAGTTTTATAGGTTTTACTCTTTAAGTCTTCTTTGGGAGAGAAAAAGGACTCTTTTATAAACTTTTCTTTCTTTCTGTTTTTTTCTTTCCTTTTACCTTTTTCTTTTAATTTTTTCTTTTTCTTTCCTTTTCCTTTCATTCCTCTTTCCCCCCTGTCTTTTCACTTTCTTCTTCATCTCCCCTTACTCCCCCCCTATTTTTCTTCCCTTTTTCCTTCCCCCCTTTTTCTTATTTTATTCCCTTTTTTTTTCTTTTTTTTTCCTATTTATTTTTCTCTTTCCCCTTTTTAACTAGTTAATCACAGTTCTTTTTTTTGGGTAGTAAATGCCCCAATCAAACGAAGTAATGCAAAAAAAAAAGAAGCAATCTTATCTGTTTAAGGCGTTTGAAGGCGTCTCAGTCAACGTTGCTGGGTAGGAGATTGAATCAGTCACAATGATTATTAAACGTGGATCTTATTAAACCGCTTAATAACCTGTTTAAACAGGTATCCGAGTGGTGAGTGGACAATCCTCCAGCGCCGCAAAGACCACCGAGCGCTGGATGATCCAAGCGCCACTCCCAGGAAGCCACAGCGCGACATGCGCCCACTTGAACCCAGACGTATAAGCACGAATCTGCCCCAGATCTGTGTAGCCAGCAAGTCAGGATAGTAGAATCAGGGGAGCAATTTAGATGGTGTGCTAAGTTTTCGGCGTGCACTGTCCAATATTCACCAGCCTCAAACCGCCATCATCTTCCCCTCCTCTCAGCGCTCGTGGCATCTTACGTCATGCGTCCACCAGCACTCCGCCCCTTCGCAAGCCCCCCTCTTCTAACTGGTTGATCTTGTTTTTCAATCGTTCCATTGTGTTGCATAGCTCTTGTTTCCAATATAACGCTATTCAATTTATTGCCGCCGTAATAGGTATGGTTGCCAATTGCCTACTTTTTTATGTAGGTATTGTAGGAATAATAGGAATACGTATATGAGGGCTGATCCCATGACACCCTTAACTTTTAGTGCCGAAATTACCCTGTCAACTCCTTTCCATAAAGGTTGAATAACCGCACAATCCCACCTTATGTGGATCATGGTTGCTTCCGCAGTGCCACATCTCCAGCATTTGGCTGATAATCAGGGATACAGTTTGCTTGGTGTCAAATACCACTGGTAAACTAGTTTTTTGTGGGCCTCTAGATGGGAGTAGAATTTTGTGATGCCATTTAAGGCATTAAGAGTCAATAGTCATTTTCTGCCAGATGGGGCAGTGTTGAGCATGCCGACCATTGTGTTACGTAAGTGTGTTGTTTTTCAGGAATGCTGTCCAATAATTAATTTTTTAAAGAAGAACAGGGGTCCATGAATCCTAAATATCCCAAGTAACACTAAAGGTTAACAAAAAAAATATCTATAGGTAGAATCCGGGTCCAGTTGGGTACCGCCCTTCAACCCCAGACTTGGGTTAAAAAAGCAAATATCCCCCCAGGAAACCCGAAGTCAAAAAAGGAAGTCACCGGGTTGTACTGGTACACAGGGGGTAACCCTAATAGAAATTGTAAAGACAAAAAAAAAAAATGAAAATACTAATTCACCAACACAAATGCCCAAATGGGTATTGTGCCAGGAAAAAGACGTACAACCCTGTAAGAATGTGCTTAATGACTAAAAAAGATATTTACAGCATGATTTATTAATAAAGCTAAAACACTTAGTCTCCTACCTAATAGGTACTCAAGTGGGGTGGGTATAAATGCCCATATCAAAGCTAAAGGTAACTATCAGGGATAATCCAAAAAAGAAAACTACAATAGAGGTATAATGCCTAGTCTGAGTAGGTAAAGAGGGTGTCAAAAAAGACACATAATAGGTATCTGGCAGGTATAAAAGCACTCCATCTATACACTACACAACCATAGGTAATCTAAAGACCTCTCTATCCATTACTACATACTGACCACTAAGTGCTACCTTAGAGGAATCCCTGTTACCTCAGCATAGCATAAAGCTAATGCCTACCAACACTGCTAGTCCTATAGAGGGACTAAATAAACGAACAAGTGCTACTAACACCCACAACCCAAGTGCATGATGAGAAGATTAAAATAAAAAAGGAAAGGGGGCGTGTCCGGAACTCAAGCCGTATGGCCGCAGACTGAGGGAGCTCCGACGGCAGGGCTCACCAACCGAGCAATAAGCGGCAGAAAAAAGGCACAATAACGGGATAAATCCATCCCAGAGATGTCCCAGCACCGGGGGAAAAAAGCGGCGGAACCCAAAGAGAAGGCAGCATTCTTCGCGGCCCGCACACCGCAAGCAAAACCAGCGGGTCGGATCCAAGATGGCGCCGAAACTGAGTCTGACAGTGATCAGGCAGCAGGTACAGATTTAAACAAACACACCCTGCAGCACATGCTAGACAAGTTAGCAGGGAAAATGCAGAGCACATTTCACACAGCAATAACAGAGCTGAGGAAGGACATACTGGAACTAGGCAGCAGAACTTCACATTTGGAAGGCAGGATGGAGGAATTTGCCACTGCACATGATTCTCTGGCAGATAAAATGGAGGACCTAGAAAATAGATTGGAGCGCTATGAAAATAAAATCATGGATATGGAGGACCGCTCCCGTCGCAATAATTTAAGGCTGAGGGGCATACCGGAAGAAATACACCAACAGGACCTAACAGCCTAGGCTACAGAGTTCTTTTGCTCCATGCTGCCTGACATTCCGTCAGATATGCTGATCCTAGATAGGATACACAGAGTAGCAAAGCCTGTTCACTTACCTCCCTCAACTCCACGTGATGTCCTCATGAGAGTACACTATTTCCACATAAAAAAGCAGATCCTGAAAACTCACCGCACCAACAGAAGCATCCCAGAAAAGTTTAAAGATATCAGCATCTATACAGATTTATCGGCAGAAACACTAAGGAGGCGCAGGACGTACCGAAACATCACGGAGACACTTCGCCAACGCAACCTCCATTACCGCTGGGGATACCCGGTAAAGTTGCTTATTAACAAGGACAGTAAAACGCACGTGAGCTCATCCACCGTAGAGGGCATCGACCTTCTCCAGTCGCGGGGCATTACAGTGAACAACGCCCATGGCGCGGGCCAACCTCGAAGCAGCAAGCTACAAGGAGAATGGAAAGCAGTCAGAGCGAGGCGGACCACCCTGCTCACCGAGCACTGAAGCACCAGAGACATTCGCTGATTGTCGTCTGACGACAAAGGTTTGGGGTGCGGGGGGGGGGGTGGGGTGAGGGGACAACAGAAGGAGACTATAGAGAAGCATATGGCAAATTCTGGGACGGGTGACACTCCACATCGCCCCTGCTCAGGATATCCCCTAAAATGACCCACAGACAGATGTTACAACATTCCCTGCCCCCCCCCATTGGATGACGAAGGGTCCAAACATTATCAGGGCAAACCACATGTTAGTCGACTCGCACTAATAAAAAAAAAAAAATTCTGAGAAACAACCCCCCCCCCACTCCAGCTCCTACGAGAGAAAAGTTAATTACCAATTAAGTGCCTATTCCCAAAGTGCCCAGCCGTATGTCTAGATCCCGCCTCTGGACCATACAGGGCTAGACCCGACCACCTACCCCCAACTCTAGAAGGTCGACTACACGACCTTCAGCAGGAAGACCTGAACACCTCAAAAGTGGTGTTCAACTACAGTTTAAGGTTTAAAATGTTTAAGTTATGTTTAATTGTTGTATGTCATCAAACAGACCGCACCACTGCAACACACCAATGCCACATGTCAATGCTCAAACAGCAGCATTACACAAGTGAGTGGCACCCCCAACCGCACCAAGGTCCTAAGCCCCAGAGCTCGTAGATCTGCCATCACTCCTTTGCTTGAAGCACCATCCACCACACACACGGACTACCGCACATGCATGGGCCCGTACGGAGCCACAACACAAGCTACACAGGTAAAACGCAAATAGTATGAAAATATACACCCACAATGTTAGAGGGTTAAACACCCCGCAAAAAAGACACACACTCCTTAAAGAGCTCAAGGGCAACCAAGCTGATGTGATATTTTTACAAGAGACACACTTCTCTGCGGATGCATCTCCCACTCTGGGGAAGACAATGTTTCCACAGCAATATCATGCCACAGCACGCACAAAACGGAAGGGAGTCTCTATCCTCCTCAGCCGCCACTTAGCCTTTGAGGAAATTCTGGTAAAAAAGGACCCGCTAGGCTGGTACATTATATTGATCTTCACTATCAACAATTCCACCTACACCATAGTCAACACATACATCCCAAACGTAAACCAGGGAACATACCTCAGTAAACTACTAAAACTCATAACACAACTACAATCAGGCACCACAATCATTTGTGGGGACCTAAACCAGTTTCAAGACCACACGCTAGACTCATCAGCGACACACACAACCAAGAGAGCAAAACTACTGCACAGACAGTGCAAAGCCTTAACCAAGCTCCTAAACACATATGGACTATACGACGCCTGGCGTACATTGCACCCACAAGGGAGGGAGTATACACACTATTCCCAGGTACACAACACGTACTCAAGAATCGACGGGTTCTTGCTACAAAGCGCACATATATATAGGGTAATAGATTGTGTGATAGGCTCAACCCGGTGACACTCCACTTGGCAGACCACTACAACTATAAGAACAGGGGCCCATGGAGATTAAATGAACATCTTCTTACAGACCCCCAATTTGTTCAAATGCTAGAACAGGACCTACACATGTACTTCCAAGTTAATGAAACACAGGACATAAACGCCCTTACACTATGGATGGCCCACAAACCGGTCATTAGAGGTATTCTTATTAAGCGAGCCTCTCACCTCAAAAAACAACAGAACCTCACATATGCCCAAAATCTCAAAAAATTGCAAGACCTACACAGAGACAATATACTCTCCCCCTCCGCATACACGCAAACACAGATAAAAGACTTGCAAAATCAGATAAACGTGGCAAATTTCCAGAAAGCGAGTTTTGCATTAAAAAGACTGAAAGCCAACAAATTCGTCCTAGGAAACCAAGCGAGCAAAGCCCTGGCACAGAGACTCAGAGATAAACAAACAAGAATACCCCACCTGCTTACACCACAAGGGCAAAAATTGACACAACCCATACAAATTTGCAATGAGTTTGCGTCTTACTACAGTACCTTATACAACCCCCAGGTACACCAACCCACGCAAAAATCGATCTCGGACTATATGCGCAGATTTGACTTGCCCAAACTACACGAACAACAAATAGCGCATCTAACAAACCCCATTACAACTCAAGAAGTATTACAACAAATAGAACGGATGCCGAGGGGTAAGGCACCAGGCCCAGACGGCCTCACTAACCTTTACTACAACACGTTTAAACACATCTTGAGCCCATACATAACGCAAGCCTTTAATTTGGCTATGAAACAGGGTAGCCTACCGACTGAATTTCTCGCAGCTCACATTATCACCCTACCCAAACCGGGTAAACCACCCACGGTATGACCAAATTTCAGACCCATTTCCCTGCTGAGCGCAGATGCCAAATTATACGCCAAAATATATGCGGAAAGGCTCAAAACAATCCTGCCTGACCTGATCTCAACGGACCAAGTGGGATTTGTGTCCGGCAGACAGGGCCCAGACAACTCGAGGAAAGTGTTAAACATCCTCCACTACCTCAATAGCTCCAAAATACAAGGTACACTTCTATCCCTAGATGCTGAAAAAGCATTTGATCGGCTTAACTGGCAATTCCTGCAAGAAGCGCTCACCGGGTATGGCTTCCCCCCTACCTTCCTTAACATAGTGAAGGCACTATACAGCACACCCTCAGCGACAGTGTTGAATTCAGGGTTCAGCTCCACCCCACTAACAATCACTAATGGCACCCGGCAGGGCTGCCCGCTTTCCCCATTACTCTATGTGTTGGCCCTGGAACCACTAGCCATAGCGATCCGAAACAATCACGACATTAAGGGGATCTCCATAGGTGGCAAGGAATATAAATTAAACCTATTTGCGGATGATATCCTTCTCACGCTATCTAACCCAGCAATCTCCCTCCCAGACCTCCACAGAGAAATACAGGATTACAGTAGGCAATCATACTACCAGTTAAACCTAGCCAAAACCCAAGCCATGTGCATAAACATCCCCAAGACGGACGAGGAGAGGTACCGACTCAAATTCCAATATGACTGAAGGAATGACTTCTTGACTTTTCCTAGGCATCAAACTCACCAAAAGACACACCGATCTCTACGAAGCACAATTACATTAAACTATTCAAGAAGTGGACCGCACACTAAACTCTTTCCTGGTTAGGCAGAATAGCGGCCATCAAAATGACAATCTTGCCAAAAATCCTCTATCTGTTCCGTTCTTTACAAATACCCTTACCGCAGTCGTTCCTACTCAGACTCCAGTCTGATTAAATTCAGTTGGGGAGGAAGACACCCAAGGGTCCCAAGAACTTTGCTCATGAAATCGGTAGACAAAGGAGGCCTGGGTCTCCCGAACCTTAAGGCGTACCACCATGCCGCACAAATGGCGAATATCCTTGCGATGCACTCCACTACATACACTCCCCAATGGATTGAGATAGAGGCTAGCTGCAGCGGAGTTGCGGATCTCCCTGTGGCCCTGTGGATACCCAAACACTTGCGCCGCACACCACCAAACGCCCTACCCACAACTAAACTTCTGTACCGCATATGGGACAGTCACAGGTCCAAACTATGCTCCACAGTTCCATGGTCTAGGGCAACGCCACTACGCTCAATAAATCTCTGTAACAACACATTCCCTTATAGAACATGGAATACCACTTGCACCAGATAAGCTCCCCGCAAGGACTACACCAGATGACAGATATCCAAGCCACATACGACGTACCACCACAACTCACGTTTTCATACTGGCAGATGAAAGCACTCATAGGCCAAACCACACAGCAAGGCCCCTCACTACCATCACCCATCACCCTAACTCCTTTCGAAAAGATGTGCATACACCAAATCCCAACTAAAAAGACACTGTCTGTGTGCTACAAATCAATCACTGAGAGTGAAACTGAGACGGAGAGGAGATATCAGACCGAGTGGCATAGGGACATAGGCAGGTCACTCACACAGGACGACTGGCACTGCATACACACAAACCACAAGGGCCTCACAACATGCGCCTCCCACATTGAGACCTCGCGCAAATTAATATACAGATGGTACATGGTACCTGCACGGCTCAAGAAAATATACTCAGACACAAGTGACAGATGCTGGAGATGTCAGACACAGGAAGGGACTATGATCCACATCTGGTGGACATGTACACTAGTCCAACCATACTGGAAGCAAATAGCGGAACTAATTCAGGGGGCCACAGGGTGCATATTAGACCACAATGCAGAAACATTCTTACTCCAACTCATACCCAAAGGCATGCCACAATGCATTACCAAACTAACATTCCTAATATTAACGGCAGCCTCCTCATCACTAGCGAAACAATGGAAATCCGCAAAGATCCCATCCCCAGCTGAGGTAACAACAATGGTTTCGACAACACTAGAATATGAAGGAATGATGTGGAAACAAACAAAAAGTGGAAAAGGTAGCGCCACAGCGAAAACACTCTGGGCCACATACATAGCAGGCCGTGACCTTAGCAACTAACAAGGGGCCACGAACAGGACAGAACAGACACAAATAAACGCCACAAACCAAACCAACAAAGACATACAAGTTAATTAGTTATCCCAGTTACCCCCCCCGAAACTCTTTCCGTCAGGTAGACAATAGGAGCAAGTCCACCCCGCCAACACAGGCACCGGTGGACACAAATTAAAAACTGAGCTAGCTTTCTACCACCCCCCTTCCCCCCCCCCTCCCCCAAGAGAGAACCGGGACCACACGGGCCCCTCGTAGGGATCAGAACGGGAAACGAGGTACACTAAGGGGCGCTAAGCCCCAGGGAACACTCAGGGAGATACTGAACCTGCTCTTAATGGTTTAGGGGATGGGGTGGCACGAGGGACGGAGGGGAAGATACTCCGCACACACGAGATATGACCTGACCCGAATATAAGAGCCACGGCAAGGGACTGCCACATGATACCTAAATCGAGACAACATAGCAATAGAGGTCAACAGAGAGGACCCTTGACGGGCCCCATGAACGACAGTTAGCGGTCTGCCTTGGCACACCATTTAACCCCCACTACCCAAACAACAAGATAACACACAACAGAGTATCAGAATTACCTGTTTGCTGCGAAGGAACATCGCTCAAATGTAATATCATGTGTGTTAATGTAAACGAAATATGTTAATGGAAAACAAGCGCTGTATAACTGCAATTTCAAGGTTACAACCTTCCCCCCCCTCCCCTCTTTATTTCTGTACCCCTACCCTCTTATCCTCTTATACTCGACAAAATAAAAATTGTCAAATTAAAAAAAAAAAAAAGGAAAAGCCCGATGCGCGTTTCGGCGTATCAAGACGCCGTCGTCAGGGGCAAATACTTATTTGCCCCTGACGACGGCGTCTTGATACGCCAAAACCTATGGTTGTGTAGTGTATAGATGGAGTGCTTTTATACCTGCCAGATACCTATTATGTGTCTTTTTTGACACCCTCTTTACCTACTCAGAATAGGCATTATACCTCTATTGTAGTTTTCCTTTTTGGATTATCCCTGATAGTTACCTTTAGCTTTGATATGGGCATTTATACCCACCCCACTTGAGTACCTATTAGGTAGGAGACTAAGTGTTTTAGCTTTATTAATAAATCATGCTGTAAATATCTTTTTTAGTCATTAAGCACATTCTTACAGGGTTGTAAATCTTTTTCCTGGCACAATACCCATTTGGGCATTTGTGTTGGTGAATTAGTATTTTCCTTTTTTTTTTGTTTGTCTTAACAAAAAAAATATCCATCCCCCATAGTGTTCTTTTAAACTTTTTAACAGGAGAAATTATTAAGCCTCCTTTGCTAATGCATTTCCCCTGACTTCTTTTTATCTGTTTCCAGCTGTACAATGCAGTGGGATTCGTCCAATATCTCCCCCTACCACACCGGAGAATGTTTAGAAATGTAAAGACTGTTTATGCATTCCTTGGAGATGTCTTGGAGGAACACAGAAGAACGAGGGTAGTCGGAGAGCCCAGAGACTACATAGACTGTTATCTGGAAGAATTGGACAAGGTATTATATACATATACAGGGCACACAATTTGCATTAATCTCTAGACAAGGGAGAGTGAACATTTTGTCCCGGTGTATGTGACATGTACCATCCAGGTTTGCAGTGACTAGTAACGTTTAAGGCCTGACTAATGGTTTATAACGTAAAAATCTTAAGCCAGGTTTTAAAAGTTACTAGTCACTGCATATATATAATATTTTATAATGTTATACAAAGTTGTAAAGTACACTGCCTTGTCAAGATAAAAAGAAAGCACTGAAAGTAACTGAAATGTGACATGGTCCAAAAAAGGTTAGAAACCACTACCCTACCTAGACTATTACATTCTTCAAATATTTCTTCTTAATATGTTATTTGGTATATTTTGGAATGCAGCAGACTGATTCAGTTTTAACTCGATTTCTGTTTAGGAGAGAAAGGAAAGTAACAATAAACAGACATTTGACAATCAGAATCTCTTTGCTTGCGTAGTGGATCTGTTTGTGGCTGGGACGGATACCACATCTGCCAGCCTGCAATGGGCTCTGCTGTATATGATGACTTATCCAGATATTCAAGGTATACCCTATTCATTTTGCAATTGAGTTAAAATTTGATGCTTTTTAGAACGTTACTGATGACATTAATTCATTTCTATGTAAATTTAATGTTTCAGAAAAGTGTCGCAATGAAATAGACAAAGTTCGGGGAGACAGAGCCCAGCTTGATTATGGCGATCGAGTGAGCATGCCATACACACAAGCTGTCCTTCAAGAAGTACAGCGTTTTATAACCATTGTACCACTTGGCGTAGCTCATACATCACAAACTGATATAGAATTGAATGGATTTTCTATCCCAAAGGTTAGTAATAAAACATTGCTGCTGATGAGGGTATTAATAAACAAACACATTGTTTGTTAACCCATTCACTGTCATTGGTTTCATATTCCATTGCATTGCAAAGTGAAATATATTACAATAAATCCACTTTGCCTCCACTCCAGTAATGGTCTTCACAAGTTTAAAAATCCCATTTCTGAGCTATTTCTATCCATCTTTTTAAAATAAATCACCCCTTAGTCCTCCATTGCATTGAAGCTGCAAGGTCAAAGTATACAAGTATCCTGAACAGCATCTGAGTGTGGGATGAGAATGGATTAATCGGAAGGAATTTGTACATTTATTCAGTGACCAACGTATATTTCTGTTTTATGTTTCTTTTTTCCAATTAGGGAACTTTCATTATAACTGATCTATCTTCATTGCACCGCGATGAGACTTACTGGAAATATCCACATGAGTTTAATCCAAAGAACTTCTTGAACGACGATGGGGAGCTACTGAAAGCAGAATCTTTCTTACCTTTCTCTGCAGGTAAATTACTGAGTCACAGGTTGACTATGTGCAAAAGTCTTTTCCAGATATGGCTGTGATAAATGGAATTTCAGTGTACACCTTCTGTTTTCATCCCTGGTTTTCTGATCTTGTGACATGATTAATAATCCAGTCATGCTAGTTAAGGAAGATAACAAAGCATTTATTGATCCAAGAACATAACAGAGCTCTTATTTGTGGGCTTGGCCTGCAATGTAAAACCTATAGTCAGTGGCGTCTCTAGGATTCATTTTTGAGGGGGCACATGGTGGGCAAGGGACAAAGGTAGGGGGGCGCATTTAACCCCACCCTCACCGCAGTTTGACCCCTCCCCTGCCGCATGTTAAGCCCCACCCCCGACCCTATGTGTTTTTTTTTTTTTTATAATCCCTGGTGGAGAATTCATTATTTTCCACCAAGGATTGTTAAAAAACAAACACATTTCCCTTGATACAGTCCTTACACACACAGAGACTGCTGAGTCCATACACACACAGACTGCTGAGTCCATACACACATACAGACTGCTAAGTCCATACACACAGCATGCTGAGTCCATACACACACACAGACTGCTGAGTCCATACACACACACACACAGACTGCTGAATCCATACACACATACAAACTGCTGAATCCATACACACACACTGCTGAGTCCATACACACACACTGCTGAGTCCACACACACACACGCACACACACACTGCTGAGTCCATACACACACACTGCTAAGTCCATACACACATACAAACTGCTGAGTCCATACACACAGACAGACTGCTGAGTCCATACACACACACACAGCTGAGTCCATACACACATACAGACTGCTGAGTCCATACACACACACACACACAGACACAAGCTTCCTCACTAGCAGACAGACACAGACACACACACACCTGAGCATATCAAGCCTAGCTGTCACTGGAGCCTGTTGCTGGGGGTCAGACAGCCATCTTCTTGCCTTTCCAGCAGCAGCATGGTCTGCTGCTTAAAGGCAGGGGAGGGGCTTATGTGCGGGAGGCAGGGCTTAAATTAGGGGAGGTGCCTGTGCCGGGTATAGCTGCTGAAATCACCCAGCACCGTTCCAGACCCTCTGTCCTGCATTCCCTCGGGCTGTCACACACTGTTACAGTCCGAGGGAATAGAATGTAAGCACATGGCCAGCAAGTTGCTGGCTTTTGGGGGGGGCACAAGGGGTGGCACAGCATGATGTAGGGGGCCATGGCCCCCTCTGGCCCCTCTCCTAGCGCCGCCACTGCCTATAGTATACGGTCTGAGATGTACCAAGGCCTCCAGTTAAGGTAGGCCTGAAGAGGGCCAACCAGAGTAGATAATTGGTAGGCCTATTGATGGGAGGGACCTGTGTGACGGAACACAAATATGGGGTGCATAAATGTTAGGGTTGTAGACAGGGACCTAAAAAAAAAGCCCTTCTTTCTGAATTACCATATCAACAGTAGATAAAAGATTAGGACATTCCAGTCCCCCGGACCAAACGGTAATCAACCCTGTATGAAAACCTTCTGAGAAGCCCCTTAACAAGGAAAGTTGCAATATTCTGAAGTGTAGTTACCCAGCAATTCAGGCAAGGCATACAAACTAATTTGTGCTAGTCATAAATTAGCATGGTTATTTAACCAGACACAGAACATTAATGGGCTCTTGGACAGTTGGTATAGACTTCCTGCCTATGTGGGTGTTCTCAGAGGGAGGGTTTTTTCACCTGTTATGAAGGTGTTATTATTATGCCCACAAATACAGGCCGATGTACTTTATACTTCCCAGGAAAGCTGAACATTCCTAGCATAATTTACTGCGCATATGAGCCATTTTATTGTATATGTTCATGAGTAAATTGTGGTATCGTGTATGATACATATGAATGTGGGCTGTACATGAGGGCTGCTTGTGGAATTGTGTGTGTGGATTGATATGTCATATTGTGTGTTTGGTAGTGTCTGGGGGCTGTTTGGGGTATTGCATATGAGAGGCTGCATGTGGGATTGTGTGCATGTATATGGATTGTTAGCGAGTTACGTTTGTGCGGATTGTATGTATGTTTGTTTGTGGGCTGTTCGTATTATTTGTATGAGGGGAGGGTTATTCTGCAGCTCTGTGTATATCTAGCAGTGTGGGAGCCTTCACTGGGTTCCAGTGGGGACCAGGCTGGCCAGGTACAGGTCAAGGACAGAAGCTGCAACAGCAGCTGCAGGCTTCTCTACTTCAGTGTGGATTCCCATTCACAAGTGCTGGGAGGAACTGATCTGAGATCACTTCCTCTACGCTCTGCAATGCATAAATTGAGGATTGTCCTTCACCACCTTTTCGTATTAGCAGATATCTAAAGTTTCACTTAGACTCCTGATAGGCCAGAGCCTGTTTGGCTCTAGCAGCCTTGAGTGCCGTGGAAAGACACCTCGAGTGCCCTGCATGGCACTAGTAGCTTAGGTTGTCTACCCCTGGCCTAGTCCATTGGTTCTACTCAATAAAGGTCCAGAGAGAGACAGTTCCAATTTTCCCACTTTATTTTGTTAAAGAAAGTTTTGCATTTCAAAGTTATTTTGCAATTTCGCCATCCTAGAGATAAACCTATTTGCACTGGTATTTATTGAAAGAATTAATAGGTTGCATACTCAGTAAGACTATGCAAATTAGCTTGACTAGCTAACACCTGGTCCCACTTAGTGCAAGATTTATACTCATATTTACTTTTACTTTCTTTTTATTTTACACCAGGAAACCTATATGAAACTGTTATGTCGCCTAAATACCTAATTATGTTACAGATGCTATTGTTGTTGTGTCACACCTGTCTCAAAAATGTTTGTTTTACTTATTTATTTTTTTTCCCAACTAGCAGATATAGCATTTATTTTTTACAATTGCATTTATGCAGGAACAAACCTTAGAACTTCAAAGTGCTAAATTAATAAGAGACAAATATTTAAGTTTACATATGTAGTTTAAGTTGAAAAATGATGAGCATTGTTTAGAACGTCTAGCCCATTGTTCCATTCTGATCACTATGTAACATCTCTTCTTAGGTCCGCGAAGTTGCCTTGGGGAAAATCTTGCTCGTATGGAAATATTCCTATTTTTTACCACTCTCCTGACACACTTCGAATTCCACTGGCCAGACCCAAAATCACCTCCAGATCTCACACCAGTGTTTGGGATCTCCCAGTCCCCGAAACGCTTTAAGATGCGCCTAGTATCACGTAACTAAATCTGATCATAAAAAAGAAGATGGATGAATACGCACAACCAAAAACATGCATTTCTCCCAACAAATCAGAGTGGAAAATTTTAACTTTGGGAAAAATAGAGCACACAGAACCAATCACTACTTAATACTGTCATATTTCTATCTTATAATATTGTCATTTTATTTGACATGGGGCATTGGACTGCTCTGTGCACACAGTCATGTTTCCCACCTAATCTAGACTTGTAGGTTATTAGATCCTGCAAAATGTGTTCTTTATAGGATTTGGAAAAAAAGTATAAAACCTGAAATTTGCTCCATTGGCGGCATTAGTTCAAGACTTGATGAAATGCCTATACAACATGTAACATCAGAGGAAAAGGGGAATAGTAACAACGGGCTCCAAACCAAATGCCACATTTAAACAAGATTCATTGATTTTTTTTAACAAAGGAAACTTCTTTAATGTTTGCCTAATTTCTTTGCAATCTATTTAAAGCTTTATTACCACATTGGCCAATGATAAATCTTCTACCACTAGAGACGTCATTTTGAAGTGTATACACCTCAATGTCAAAATGACCATCATGTCAACAGTACAATGATCATCTCTGTACCTGTAACAGGCTTGTACTGTAACCTTTTAAATCTGCAGATTACCAGAGATGGAACACTTTTAACTTACCAAGCTAGATGCAGACCAACCAATAATCCTTGTAACCACCGATAAAAAAAAGAAAATGTAATTCATTCCAGTTGGAGGAAAAGGAGACATCCCCCTTATCCCTCCTCCTTATGTCAACTGAAATTGTATGATTTTGTTTAGCTTTACTCGTTGCTGACATTTAGGGTGAATAAGAACTTGAAACATGCTTTATATTTTTTTCTCATATCCTATTGTGATTCTCGAGATTGTCATTTTTTACCTTTAAATCTTGTACATTGTAACTATATGTTATATATATATATATACTATTCTTTTGGTATGCTATGTGTATCTGATTCGACATTTATCCATAAGGAGTTTAATAACAAAATGTATAGTTCTGCTTCTCAGTATGATTACTACCTATGTTTGTTATACAATAAAATATATACATCTAAAAAGTAACATAAGGGGTCAAATACATTACTTAAAGGCAAATCACTCAATTTGTTAAGCAAGGGGTATACCATCAATGCTTGCTAACGGTCGGTCAAAACTATGACTTCCAGGAAACTCCTGAACCCCTGAACCGATCTGGGTGATTTTTTGAATATGTTGTTCACCAGGATCGGGGCTATCAGAGGATGTGACTTTCATGGGGTATTGTGTGTTTTTAAGGTACTTTCTGGGGTTTCATGAAATTTTTGTTTTTTCTGTGCTTTGAGATAATTAGGTTAGATTAGTACAGTTCAATTATCTCTCAAGAATAAGAAAGGGAGATTGGACCAAGAAGGACAAGTGAAGTGATCCCTCCACTTTACTCTACATTATAAGGCTTTGGAACCTGGGCATGGCAGGGAAACTTTGGACCTTCTCATCTTCCCAGGTAAAAAAAAAATATCCGTGTTAATTTGTATTTTGTTTACTGAGTGTCAGGAAGCACAGAGTGCCGTTGTGTTGGGGTGTCATTGATTGGCTAGAGCAGTCAGCTGGCACTCTAAGTCAATCAGTAGCTCCCCATTATTAAAAAAGTAAAACATTTTTATGAATCAGGAACTAGCGATTGGCTTAGAGTGTCAGCTGACTCTAGCCAATCAGTGGCACCCATGCCTGACATCAATCTGCACTTCCTGAAACTCAGTTTCCGAAGCCGAATATCACGGAGCGACCTGGAGATCTATATGTGGAGGAAGTCTTTGGGGTTAAACCTTTTGAGAGAGGTTTAACCCCTTAAAGGAAAGAGAGCACCCAGGCATCATAGCATTTTCATTTAGATGAAGTTGTTATGGTGACCAGAATGTTCCTTTAATTTGATTAAAGGAACACTATAGTGTCAGGAATACATAGTTGTGAAAACGCTATTCACTCTGGCTTTATGTGGTTTATGCTTACTTGTAGCAATCACATGTATATCTTATTTGTCATAGACACAAAAGGCACACATAGGCCTGGATTTAATAAGCTTTCAAAATTATTCAATACCGTTAGATTTTTAAAATATTCCCATATACTTTAATGTTGGCTTCTGTTGGTAAAACATTTTAAATGTTTTTCTAACAGTATTGGATCATTTGGAAAGCTTATTAAATGGAGGCCATAGTTAGACCACCACCAATAGACAGCATATTTACTATTGCAATATTGGCAACAGAGCTGCACTTTGCTCTCAAATATCCTCACAGTAATGCAGAAAGCAGCTGTCTCTTCACAGACCCCAAAGAGTCGCATTCGTAATATAACCAATACAGCCTTACCCTCAGTACTCTGAAAGCACAAACACACCTTTTCAATCGCTCTTCATACAGAGGTAATACATTATTACTTGGTAATCGTGCTGGGACACGCTGTCCCACCCACAGTGGATTTTCTTGCAGTCATTACACATAAATAAATATATAAGAATATGTGCAAAGGATCAACGCTAATATACTAGACATTGTAGCAATAAACATAAGGCAGCACACCTGAAAAATAGGGCTCCCTCACAGGCCCTATAGAGTAGGTAGACAAAGCAAAAAAAGTGGAGGAGGAAGAGGCGGCGACACAGATAAAAAAAAAAAAAAAAACGGATTATAAACTATACAAGCATATATACAAGACACTACAAGTCCAAAAGAGTCTATGCCTGATAAATACAGCAAAAAGTCCAAATAAAACCATGAAGTCAATCACAATCTTGTCTGGGGAAGTATTCCTCAGTATGGTATGGGCATGGGATATTCTTGAGATCTGTATGAAAAAAATAAAATAAAAAAGACAGCAAATAATGGTGCAGTATATCCCGACAGGTACTAAGTACTGTTTTTAGAGGTCTGTATGGTCCTACTCACGTTTTCCAGAGCTATAAGACTAGCTCAAGTGTGGATGGCATACAGTGGTACAATCCCTACTTATGGGATGCCTGAAGTTTTGTAGTAGATGGATATCTTGTTGGTATAAGGAACATATGAAATATAAAAGAAACAACAATAATAGTGCTTATTGTATAAAAGCCCGAGGTAAAATAATAAAATACCATTTGGTTACTCACATTTTATTGATATATAATAATAATCAAAATAAAGGTAGCACTCCAGGGACTTGAAGTAAAGTAAAATAAAACTTATATTCAGCAGATGCTAGTAAAAATCAACGTTTCAGTTCACCGGCGAACTTTCATCAGGATAACAGTGCAATACAACACCCAGTGCTTAAATACCATACATGTTAATGAATACATTACATACAGATGACACTCACCCTTCACCCCTGTGATTGCTACAGCTGATCGCTTGCAAAATCGCAGGTTAACTTGACCCAGCTTTGGAACCGCTACAGCAGTGTTGGAAACTGCTGTGTACTGAATGCGTTCCAGTCGGTTGCCACAAAAAACGGTGGAATACAGTGTCCCTCAGGGTTCTGTTCTGGGACTGCATCTATTTAACATATTTACAAATGATCTTTAAATAGGCATTGAAAGTCATGTTTCAGTGTTTGCAGATGAAACAAAACTCTGTAGAAGAATACAATGTGAACATGATATTGCTTTGTTGCAGAAGGATTATGATAGATTGGGGCATTCAAATAGCAGACTAAATTTAATGTAGAAAAATACAAAGTAATGCACTTCTGGGTAAAGAATGCACAATCAACTTACATCCTAAATGGTAATGAATTAGGGATAACAAGACATGAAAAGGATTTGGGAAGTGTTATAGACAATAAACTAGGCAACGATGTGCAATGTCAATCGACAGTTGCTAAGGCAAGTAAGGTATTGTCATATATAAAAAGGGGAATTAATTCTTGGGATGAAAATGTAATTTTGCCTCTTTATAAATCGCTGGTAAGACCACACCTTGACTATGCTAAGCAAGTTTGGACACCTGTTATAAAGAAAGAAATTATATCATTAAAAAAAAGTACAGTGACGGACTACAAAAGTGAGGAGAGGAATGAAGCATTTTAGTTATGAAAAGAGGTTAACAAATCTAAATCTCTATAGTTTGGAAAAACAGTGCCTCAGAGGGGAAAGGATAGCATTATACAAATATATTTGTGGCCAATACAAGCCATTGTCTGGAAATCTATTCATACATAGAACTATACATAGGACACAAGGTCACGCATTTAGACTTAAAGAAAGGAGATTTAGTCTAAGCCAAAGTATTTTTACAGTAAGAACAAAAAGGATGTGGAATTCTCTGCCTGAAGAGATGGTTTTATCAAAGTCTATACAGATGTTTAAATAGCAATTGGATAAATACTTGCAAAACATAATATACAGGGATATAACTTTTAATTAGTGGGGTAATGGCTTCTTGATCCAAGGAGATATCTGACTGCCAAGCTGGGGTCAAGAAGGATGTTTTTTCTAGTTGTTGCACAACTGGATGTGCTTCAAACTGTTTTTTTTTTGCCTTCTTTTGGACGAACAGAAAAAACAAATGTGAGAAAGGCTGAACTTGATGGATGCATGTCTCTTTTCAGCTATGTAACTATGTAAGCTCTCTGACCCTCACAAGCTCACTAACACAAACACAAAAGCTCACTAGAGACAAAAACACTGACACACATACAAGCTCTCTATAGACAAGCTCACTGACATACACAAGCTCTCTGACACACATAAGCTTATTACAGATAAACTCATTGGTAAATACATACAAGTTCACTGTCATAGGAATTGTACCCCAACGCGCAGGAAAGAGAAAACCCACAAAAGGTGGATCCGAAAGACATATTACCGAGCCTTAGAATGGCCAGACTTAACATATTAATACAGCAAGAAACCGGGTCAAGATAAATAAAGGACAGGATTACAGATATACTCAGAGTCAAGATAACATTGGTCAGGATACCAGAAATCACGAGTCAAATACGAAGCCGAGGTCAGGATACCAGAAATCACAAGTCAAATACGAAGCTCAGCTCAAACACAGGAAATCTCAAGGGAATCTCTAGGAGCATTAAATGAGGATCTAACAGAAACCATGATAGGGCTAGAGCAGGCCTTAAATAGGTTCAGAAGAGTTTCCACTGGTCCATGTCATCTCTGCGGCCCCAAACAGCATGAGGTCGCCTAGATGACGCACACCCTTCAAGGGCGTGACGTTATGAGAATAATTATCATGCACAAGCTCACTACAGACAAGATCACTCACACAGATAAACATAAGCTCACTACAGGCAAGCTCACTCACGCAAACACACAAGCTCACTACAGACAAGCTCACTGACTGAAACATGCTCAAGCTCACTACAGACAAGTGAACTCACACAAACACACACAAGTTCATTAGAGAAAAGCTCACTGACACACACACAAGCTCACTACAGACCAACTCACTTGAAAAACACACAAGTTCACTGACACACACAAGCTTACTACAGACATACATACAATAACAGACATGAGCCATTTTGGAAGGTGGGTGTTGCAGCACTGTAGCACTCATAGATTGTCTGCAGGTAAGGAACAATATACCAACTCCTAAAGCACATAAATATTATGATCTATCACTACGATAAATCATATATTTAGTTCTTTGGGAGTTGTTGTATGTTAAAGTAAACCTGTCATGTCAAATTCACTTAAATATATATATATATATATATATATTTATATATATTGTAACAAACCACCTCTTTTACAGGTAGGATTGTCACAGATCTTGCAGTAACCCCAGCCTTCTAGGGTATACAAAGTCCAGGACACATTCAGCTCGGTTTTCCTTTTTTATTTGATAAGAAAAACAGGTGCTTTAAATAATTACAAACAAACAAAATCCCTTGCTCTTACTTGAGCTCTTACTAAACAGGAATTACTATCTGTAATTGGGTGGCTTTCCCACTTACCAATTTTCCAAAAAAAAGAAATGGCTTTGCAATAAACACAATTGTCGTTCTCTCTCCTAGCTGTCTTTTTCTCCCTCACTCTGCAGCAGGCTGCCCTATACTTTTAAAGGCCTGTCTACTAATTGACTAGCTA